TGACCTCACTGTAAACACCTGTGTGACCTCACTGTAAACACCTGTATGACCTCACTGTAAACACCTGTGTGACCTCACTGTAAACACCTGTATGACCTCACATTAACTTATTGGTTCAGATATGATGTCATGTGAAATCTGACGGTCAGAGCCTCCATGACCTTCAGGATATGTCGTTTATGCTAATGAGGGTCGTCACAGGTGTGTACGTATGCAGAGTGGGCGTTACCTTCTTCCTGTCTCTCATGGAGCCCCGCCCTCTCACCATGATCTTACATCCTGTCTCCGTCTCCAGCTGCTTAGCCGTCAGACCTCGAGGTCCCAGAATCCTCCCGACAAAATTAAACTGAAACAGAGAGGAGTCACACACTGGTAGCCATGACAACCGGCCAATCAATCAGACAATACCCAAGCCACCAATAACCTGCTGATCAATAACCGATCAATCAGACACACTCACGTCAGGGAACTCCTTTGTGGGAACATAGAGTTTCTCCTGCAGCTGGACAGTCGGACCAACGGCGTCGGGCAGCTCGCTGCTTCTGTCTGAACCGTTCAGAGTGTTGGTGTACATGTCCTTCCTGACACGACTGATCTCTGAAACACACAACATGTTTACATGTTAAGATGACAACACAACATGTGACATTTTAACATGTCAACACAGCATGCAACATGTTGCCATGTTAACACAATATGTATGCAACTTGTTAACATGTCAACACAACATGCAGCATGTTGCCATGTTAACACAATATGTGGCATAGTAATATGTCAACAAAACATGTAACATCTCACCAGAACATGCTACATGTTCATATGTCAACAGAACAAGCAACATGTTAATGTCAACACAACACGTGACATCAATCAATCAATCAATCAATTTTATTTATAAAGCCCAATATCACAAATCACAATTTGCCTCACAGGGCTTTACAGCATACGACATCCCTCTGTCCTTATGACCCTCACAGCTGATCAGGAAAAACTCCCCAAAAAACCCTTTAACGGGGAAAAAACGGTAGAAACCTCAGGAAGAGCAACTGAGGAGGGATCCCTCTTCCAGGACGGACAGACGTG